CAAATTAAAACTTTCATCTCCGAGTGAAGGGGACAAGAACACCTCCGAAGGCACTTTGCACCGAGCAATATCGTTTGATCATTCCTTGAAAACACTACCATTCTATACCCATAGTTGGATTTAAATTTTTCTAAAAACCATCAATCTAACATCTTATAGATTGAACTGGGTGTTCCAATGGGTGTTCCAAAGTTTCTGTAATAGAACTTGCCCAATATTTTAAACAAGTATCTTCGCCGACCTGTGTCCGGTCATTCGCATCCATGTCTAGCAGCTACTCAGCTACCATGACCACTTGCCACTTCCTGCCATTATTGATGACCACCATTAACCATTATATATATAGTAAATCTTTTAGCCGAAACTATAGAAATATATGTCATCAATAGCTATACATAATATATAACTAATCCTGTGATTAGTTAGAGATCAATCTAATGGGTTCAATGTCTTTTACTGTTTTAGAGACAGAAGAATTTACCTTTATCTAAAATTCTTTTGTTGTTTTGCAATCGAAAACACCAACTTCTATTATTAGGTTATTATAGGCCAGTTGCACGAAAGAAAAAATGCTAATTATGTCATACAGTAACGGCATGATATTGTTATTTAATGACCATATGTTATTAAAAACCCTTGCAGGATACATTAATTTATGTTAAGTTATTAATTGAATAATGGAAATAATTGCATGATCTCTGTTTCGGATGTTGTTTTATAGTAATATTTTACATTAGTTTGAAGATTTATAATAAAAAAAAGTAATGGAATAATAATGAAATAATTGCATGATCTATGTTTTGGGTGTTGTTTTATAATAATAGTTTACATTAGTTTGGAAATTTATTAGTTTCTTTTTTTTTCATGGGTTTTGTGATGATTTGGAGATATATATTTTTGTAATGAATTAGGTATAACCGCATGTTGAAACCATGTTCTCTAACTTAAAAGGAACTAGTTTTTAGAAATACTAGTAGTATATGACCAAAATCTAAGTATCTAACCAAAAAGACGAAGAAGAATATGAGTAAAATAAATATATTTTTTGATTTTTCCTGTTATTTGATCCAAAATGGCTTTTACATGTTATAAATACAAGAGCTAAATCCGTAGAGACTACGTACCAAGAGAAAGTGCCCGAAGAATGGTTACTTAGAAAACAAATGCAATCTATTAAAAAAAAAAAAAGGAATCTATTACCGTAAATGTGATAGTCTCTCTTTTTTTTTCCTCACTGATTATAATAGTCTAGTGGTCATCAATGTATTAATTTGGCATATGACGCTTACGTAAGAAATAGTCAAATACAATATTAGTTGATTTTCATACTTTATAAATTATTTGTAAATTAATAAGCAGCGATGTTACAAATTGCTGTTAAAAAATACAAAAATAGTAACCACCACGAGTGGAACAAATCACTTGAATTGGCTAGAAAAGGTGTTCAAACAAAAAAAAATTGGCTAGAAAAATACATCACTCCTAATTGAGGAAATATTTGTAATTTAAATGCAATGTAACAAATGGTATCCACGAGTGGAACAAAAAGTTGAAAAGAGGAGAATATGAAAGTACAGTAGAATGAAATATATTTTTTGTAATGATATTTCACTTGAATTTGGTAAAAAAAAAAAAAAAAAAAAACTTCATTCTTTTTTGTCAAACTTCATTCTTATGATTGAAATTCAAAGTATCTACAAAGAAAAGAGTATTAATGATCCAAAAGAGAGTTTTTAACTAGGTTTCTTTGTTGTTAGTATCGGAAAACCCCGAACTAAAATATAGACTTATCTCCGAAATATGTGAAATTCTTGCCATTGAAGATAAATATTCACAATAGAAAACCATGATTAAAATCGGAATAAGACCATTGGAACATTGGTTTTCCTACTTCAAGATAAGTCTTCCAAATATTGGACCAGCTTATGATTTTAAACCGATTTTTGTTTGATCATATTTTAAACTGTTACACAAATTATGTAGTGATAAAACATTGCATCCAACATTTTGAACATATTGATTGAGGTTCATGCTTGATTCCACTTAACTTAAACCTTTGCAAATGTGAATTACTCATATATACTATATAAAAAAACTGCATCCAACAGTTTGAACAAAGAAAAACAAATATTGTTTGAGGTTCATGATTGATTCCACTCAACTAAACCTTTGCAGATATAAACAATGAATTAGTGATATACTGGCTCCGAATGGAGAAAGCGTATCGGACGGAGCGGATCAAGCGGATCAAGCGGATCAAGCGGATCAAGCGTATCAAGCAGAACAAAAGCGGATCAAGTAGATCTAGCGGTACAAAAGCAGATCTAGCGATTCGAACGCTTTTAATATGCGTTGAATGGTGAAAATGGATCATACGATGTGAGTGAAATATTTCTATTATAAAAATAGTAATTTTAAATTAAATATTATACATACCATGATAAATTATACTAAAATAAAATTATTGTATTGTTTTTTTTCATTTTCTAAAACATGTAATTGTTTCAAATTTCTATGTAAAAATATTTATAGGCTTTGTTTCGAGTTTATAATTGTAATTTTGGGTAATTGGGTTATATCAAATCTATATATAATTAACATTTTGGGTATATAATTATATATCGGGTATCTATTCAATTCGTAGTTTGGTTCAGATTCGGTTTTGTTATGGTTGTTCAAATATGTAAATTTAAATTTAAGATTTGTTTGGGTATTTCGTTTCTAGGTTCGGTTCGGTTTGAAAATATTTAGGGTCAGTTCGGTTTGGTTCCAGGTTTTTTTGCCCATATAACATTTTTAGTTTGTATAACTTTATAAAGTAAAATCACTATCTTATGTCTCATTAATTATTGTAAAACAAAATTTTCTAATCACTATCTTTTTTTCCTTTATTATTCATTGTGTTGTTATTAAAAATTATGTAACTCAATATTTTTAAAGTTTTTGGATTTGTTTCAAAAAAATAATAATAAATAATTAATAACAAAAGAGGATGCACCACAAATCCATCATAATTGTGGTGGTTCTAGTACTGTAGTAAGCGGATCAAGAAAAAACTTGATTGCTATTATGTTAATTGAACCAAACGTACAGTTTATTCAAATTGCTTGAATGGCAAAATAAAAACGTTTCACCCACATATGCAGAAGAACTGCTTTTTCACTGTCTCCCACTCAAACCACTATATTTTGTTGCGGTCCATAAAATAGAAACCCAAAAGACAAGTTTCCCATACCAAAAGGAAAAAAAAAAAAAAATTCCCCTATCATAAAGGTCGAAAACACATAAGTCACTTCAGACATAATGATGTGATGACTTTGTGTATTTTCTCAACCATCCAAAATGGCCGTGAGAATTGAGACCCCTCTTGGACCTTACATCACATTTATTCACTATTTAATCCAACTCCATTCAATGAGATTCTCTATTCAATTATTCAACTCTTCGTTCCTTTTCCCTATTCGCATGCATCTCTGTCTTTTGACTTAGAACCAACCTAATTAGGTTCCTATTTTATCAAATCATAACTTTTTGATCAACTATCGAATTATTTTATTTTCTCCATTTTAGCATCACAAAAATTTGCAATTTTATTTGGTTCATGTGATATATGTATTAGCTATTCTTAAGCCATTGATTAACAAGTCAAGAAATGAGCCTATCATTTGGGTTGAGCCATTCACAACTAAAAACTCCTTTTGGATACTGGTCAATATCCTAAAAATGTTCTACGCTAACTAGACAAGAGACTATTGTACATAAGTAACAAAGTTTTTGACTTGAAAAAAAAAAGTTTTTGACTTGATACAAAAAAAAAGACGAAAAAGATTGTGTATTTTTTATGGAAATCGAAAAATAGTAGTATACTTTTATGAAATTTTTTCTAAGTAAAAACATTAAATAATAGTCACAAAATCACTAGTTTCTCACCATATACACATACAAGGTTGATCGCACAACCCACAAGGTGTTTATAAGCTAAATCAATCAGGTACATTGTCGTGCATGTGTGTCATTACTAAAAAGGCCATCATGTCGATTGAGACGAGTAGGACCCCATTTTTGGTAAGATTCCAAATGCAATCCCGCGACAAAGTCGTCAAAAAGAACAGAAACATCGACAAATGAGAAGACATTAGTCACACATAAGACATATATGCACACATCTAGTCAAAATTGATGTGTCCAAATTATTGAGTCTAAACAATACAACTAATTTGAGTATTCAAAATAATCAGCTTACTCTCTACTTATTCCTCGAGAATAGAGTTTGGGAAACGAAGAATCATTTCAACTGTTGTTCAATAAGATAAAGGTAGTGATTATCCTTGGAATCTAGCAAAAAAAAAAAGATAGAAAAAATAAAAATCTCAATTTCAGAAAAGCTAGAATAATTAAGAGGTTCAAAAAGAGGGAGAGACGAAACTGGAATTGACTAATAGCAGACTAACAAACAATTGTGCATAAATTTAGTGTCATTATTCAACTTTTTGTATTTTTCATTTCTAATATTGTTCAAAGTAAAACCTAATATAATGTGCATGGTTTGATAAGGTTTAAAATTGAGTTTTTATTCGGATTATAATCAAAAAATTTTTTTGATCATTTTTCTTTTATTTTTTGGTTTGGTTCATATTCAAATTTGTTTTTTCGAATTGAGATAAAACATTTTCATTTAAACCATATTAAGATATAGTTTGGTTTGATTCGGATCGTATCGATTTCTCTGAATTTAACATCCTAGACACTATGATCTTGAAGATAGTGTCCTATCCTCCATTCAAAAGAGACAAAGCACCATGTTCATTGTTCACATATCACATGAAAAACAAAACTCTTTAAAAACAAGCCCATATCTCACTCTCAAGGAAAATACGTAATGGGTTTCTTCTTGGGCTTTCTCTTCCTTTGACTTCAGGTTTCTTAGCTTATTAGTTATTTCTCCTAGAAAGGCCTTTGATTGCTGTGTTACTGTATCTTGAAGAATCAGAACCTTTATATAAAGTCACATAAACTTTGCTTCACATTCACAATGTCATGCTTCTACTTTAAGCTTGACTTTACATTACATGGACATGAAGAGAAGTTCTCTTTCTCTCAAAGATTTCTAGACAAAACAACAATCAAACAACGGATCAAAAAAACATTTCCTAGGAAATGTTGATAATTAGACAAAATGTTATTCCTGCTGCTATTCACAAAACAAAAACAGAATATTTACATGGTTTTTCCTTCTTGCTGGTTTTCCAAGGAACTCCTAAATGCACACCAACTTTACAGTCTTGTTCACGCAATCCTACCACGCTACAACGAAAACCGTGGATGCCCCATAACTCAAACTCCTTTACCACAACCGATGAAACTCAAAGATGGGATTTCCTTTATTAGAGTTTCCGCTACTTGAGTAGCGGAAGGTCTTAGAGATAGTTTGCTACTGATACAGAGCGCAGCAATATTCAGCATTGTCTTTACCTCATCAATATCAAGACTGTTACTTAACAACCTCGGGTCCAAGAACTGTCTCACTTTGTTTTCTGCGATGTCTACACTCGAATCCAAAATCTCATTCATAAGTGGAGCAGCTATATGCACCAACATCTCGCCTCTCTCAGCAGAAAACGCTTCTTTTCCTGAAACCAACTCAAGAACCACGACACCAAACCCATACATATCCATCTTCTTCGAAGCAATCCCGGTTTTGAAGTAGTGAGGGTCTGTATAACCCGGTGATCCCACCATTCTCACTTGTCTGGATCTAGGCGACATCGTAGGAGGCTGAACCATCGAAGAGAATCCAACTTTAGCTGACCCGAAATCGCATAGCTTACAATTAAAGTTTTTATCTAGGAGTACATTGGAAGCTTTTATGTCCCCGTGCACGATCTGCGGGGTACATTTCTCGTGAATGTGTTCAATAGCTTGAACTAACTGTAACGCAATCGCTACACGGTTCCTCCATTGCAAGACTTGCTTGCTATTGCTTTGGAGCTTCTCTTGTAGATTTCCTTGAGGAAGATATTCAAGAAGAAGAGCACCATTTTCCTCTGAAATACAAACAAACAGAACATAAGCCTATACGCTAATATATCAAACAACTTGATAAAACAAATAAAGATCAAGACTTTGATTCTAAGAGAGACTTAATCACTACTGAATTTGATCAAAAAGCTCCAAACTTTGCAGAATCAAGACAACAACACAATTGATCAAACACCAAAAATTGCAGAATCTATGAGATATCAGAAGCAGTACCTGAATCATCGAAATAGCCGAGAAGCTTCACAATGTTAGGATGTTGAAGACGGAGCAAGATATCAAGTTCAAGTCTAAAGACCTGATAAAGACGGTGGCTACTAACATGAACCTTGAGAGCCGCTTTATCAGAGCCAGAGAAGCGAGCCATGTAGATACTACTATAGCCACCAGAACCAATCAATCTAGAGAAATTAGAAGTAAGAGTTTCAACATCATCCCAGCTACTGTAACAAGTCACACCAGATCCTTTACTTGTGGGTTTGTCGGTGATTGTCTTGGAGACATCGTATCTAACACAATTTAAGAAACAAGCCATTGCAAAACAGAGCAAAACAGAGCAGAACAGAGCAGAACAGAGCAGAACAGAGAAAGATTGAGTCTTTCTTTGATTTGGGAGATGGGTTTGGTTAGAGTTTTGTAAAAATGTAACTGCAGACAAAGGAAGAACAAGGGGATCGAAGAAAGTTATGGATTTCGAGACAATGTGTGATTGTTAGATTTGTAATGAAGGAAGAAGGAAAAGGTTTAGACTTTGGATTGGGAGGCAGAGTTTGACTGATTATTTATTAATAAAGCTGCCATTTTCGATGTTGAATGAAACCTTCTTTCGAAGTAGCTAGCTCTCTGACGTTCTAACTACTACTACTCTTCTTTCAAGTTTTGTCTCTTTACTTTTTGGGGCTAAGCAAAACATTTAGCACATTTCTTTTTCAGTTCATGATTTTTTTGACATTTTTCCCAAAGAAGTAGTGGAAAATAGTTAAAATATAAAAAGCGATCATGTCACGTTCTTCTCCGTTGAAATGTACACTCTCAAATTATATGTAAAATACCAAAATACTCAATAAAATTAGTACATTTTTTTTTTAATATATGAAAGTTCTTGGGCCTTATGTCTCTTAGAGGCGAGGCCGGATACACACGGTTAAATTCATATTTTTTAGAGAAGAGAATCTTTCAAGGAAAGTCAAATCTAACACGACCACCTGGAAGATTTACCATTGGACAACACCACGTTGGTATAAAACTAGTGTTTTCATAATGCTTCCAATGTAAGTGTCTTCTTCGTCCCGACGCTTGGCCCTCTTTTAAGTCACAGTCGGAGTCCCTTGCAATTGCTCTCAGTCACATTCCTTTTTGGAAAATCCAGTTTGAAGAGAGAAGTGCTAACAAAGGTGCTTTCCTTATTGCTCAAAGTGTGACAAGAGAGGATCGTCGACAATCATATGTAGCTTCGGACTACCCTTTTTGGTTACATGATTTGTTCAATGAAGAGATGTCTACTACTTAGTTGTGGTACTTTTTGTATTCTCTTCGGTGTAGGTGATTGTCGTGGATCCTCAATTTTTTGGTCGGATTGTAATCTGTTCTCCTCAAGTTATCAATATATTGAATCATTCAGTCTGAAAAAAAAATTAAGTGTCTTTTTTTTGTTGAAATATGATATTAATTTGACCGACAAAAAAATAGGTTATTTACAAACAAAAGAAAGGAAAAACTGAAAAACGTTTTTGAGCTGAGCTCAATGTAATATTGTTGTTGTGTAAATATTGTTTAAAAATGTTATATTTTTATACATTAATAATTCCAATTCTAATTCTACTGTATTTATTTGAATTTATATGTGATAATTAAATTGAAAAGGATGTATTTGAAACAATTAAATTTTAATAGAATTATTTGTAAAATACATAAGTCATAGGAAGTAAAAATATATATGAAAAAGATTTTAAGGTTTTGAATAGTGCACTCTCAAATACATTTTCAAAGGCTATGAACATTCCATGAATGCATAGTTGGCATGCACTGGATAAGCCGATGAAGGTTGATAAGATCAAATTATCCCTAAAACTACTCTACAAATTAAGAGATTGATGCAATACTTGGGAGCGAATCCACAAGAATTTGAAATTCACGAGGAAGATTTTAAGTTTTTGAATTAAGCTAAACATAAATTGATGTATATTAAAGACGACAAAACAGAATAATTAAAAGAAGTTTGTAATTCCTTCAATTTAAAGGAAAACGTTAGACTCAGAGGAAATCCTTTCGGTAAATTAGAATTGCGATCAGACAATTAGTTAAGGTTTTAATTAAGAATTGTTCTTGAACTAAAAACACAAAGATTAAAATCAATCAACTCTTGTTGCAGGGATTATCTATGCCAGACTTTAGAATTCCAAATCTCTTTGCAAATTCAATAATTTAGATACGCGTTAAACTCATGTTTAATTTGTTCACAAAATCCCTAAACCAAATTGCTTTGCGAATAGGAATTTTGCTCATCTAGAATTATTTTCAGGAAATCAATAACACTTTCATGTCCACCAATTATTCTAAAATCTAAACTCTATGTGATCAATTTAGAACTAGTATTAAATCAATTCCAGATGAAGAACTTATAGGATTACCCTAACAATTTTGTCTAAATCAACAATTCATCATTAACCTTTGAAAACACCTAAATCTAACAAACAGATTACTCAGACATAATCAATAAAACACAAACCATAGACTGAATCAATTGCATTAAGAAATCAAAAGAAGAAGTAAGGGAGTTCGAAATCTTCTGTCTACAAGTGAGTTTCTTATTTTTTTCTCCCAAAAGCTCTCTAGCTAAATCTCACAAAATTCTGTGAATAGAATAAAGCGTATGTCTCAACAATGACATTAAAACCCTAATTATAGCCTAAAACACGAAGATGATTTTTTTTTTTTGTGGCAAAATAATAGGAACTTTAGGGCAAATCTACAAATCTTCAAACTTGTTAAAACTAGTTGGAGACTTGTGTCGCGATCAGTGTCGACTGACACCCATAGATGGTGTCAATCAACACCAACTTTAAAGATGGTACGTCTCTGAGTTGCTATTCTCAGCTACTAAGCTTGATATGCTCCAAAATGCACAAACATTCGCCAAAACGTACCTTAACCTACGAAGACTCGAAAATTACCATAAAAGACTAAAACAAGACTCATATCATGGTTAAAAATTAAACTCGGAATAACTTTGCTATCCAAATTTAAGTTCACTTATGATTTCTATCCAAACATGCACCTTCAGTTTCATATCATTTCCTTGAAATATTAATCCTACTTATACAATGTACAAAATTACTAAATTAGGGACTTTTCGGAAAATTTTTTGACGATGTTTTGAACAGGATGGTCGAAAACTAAAGAGATAAATCGTGTGTCTTTTGAAAAAATATTTAAAGTTTCTTTGTAAAGGTTTTTTTTGATTAATCTGATAATTTTACAAATTTATATGTTTTTCGATATAAATTTAAGAAATCCGATATAATAAAATAATTTTTTTGAGAACCTTCTAAATTTTATTGTACCATATTTTAAATTTTACACGGTCGGAGAAGAATCATTGTCCCAATAGTTTTCATTTCTCTTTCTAAGAAAAAATGTTTTTTGGCTCCAATATTTAAATAATGACGTCAAATCGAAACGTTAGATCTTCTGTCACTTTCTTTGTCTTTTTCTTTAGAGAAAACGTGAAAGATGCTATTGTAGACCAAGTAACCCATCCTCCATAAACCCTACCAAACACCGACAGTCTACTTTTAAATTAATTAATCACACATATGTATAGTAAACAAATAAGTTTGATGCCAAAAACAAATAAAATAAAGAGGTTATTGTGACTGGGTCAAGCATTAGGCTTAATAATTGTGGGTCTAAACTCTAAAGGTTGGCCCTGGCCCGATTTATGATGTGAAATAAGCAAATTTGTTTTTGACCTTGCATCCAACATTCAAATACATTATTTTCCATATTAGAATCTTAGTTATTTTCCAAATTTGAAAAACCAACTCATGGTGCATAAAGATTTCGAAATGGACAAAACATATATAATAGAAAAAATACTTAAATCTCACATTTAATTTGATGAAACGAACTACCAAAGATTGACAACAAAAACCAACTCATGGTGGTTTAGTGAAGGATGTATCTGTTAAGATGAAATCTTATTAATTTTGTACGCACTTACAAGAGTATATATACACAAGTAGAAGAGAGGAACATATAGGTCTATAATACAAAAGGAATGTTCCTAAACTGTAATCAATCAAATATTGAGCCATTAAGAGATGATCATTTGATATCTCTGACACGCCCCCTCAAGATGGAGGTGCCTTGGCAACTCCAATCTTGTCTCTTAGCTCAATAAATCTTGATATTGTCAATGGCTTCGTTAACGCATCAACAAGCTGGTCCTTTGTGTTTACATGTGCGACTCAGAGAGCTCCTTGCTGAACTTGGCCTCATATGAAATGGTAATCGATAGCTATGTGTTTCATTCTGGAGTGAAAGACCGGATTTGCACATAGAAGAGTAGCCCCAACATTATCACAATACACAACTGGTGTTCTTGGTAGTGTGATACCTAGCTCCTTTAGAACATTGCAGATCCAACTGAGTTCGGACGCTGTGTTTGTAACAGCTCTATACTCTGCTTCTGTTGATGACCTTGCGACTCCTTTCTGCTTCTTTGCAGTCCATGAAACTGGATGACGACCAATGTAGATGATGTATGCATTAGTAGAAGTATAGTCATCTGAATCACCTCCCCAATCTGCATCCGAGAAGGCATGAAGGCTGAGATCATTTTTAGCTGAGAAGAAAATCCCATGTGTTGGTGTGCCGCCTAGATATCGTAGTATCCTTTTCGCTGCTTGCTAGTGATCTTCGGTGGGCCGATGCATGAACTGAGATAATTTGTTAACAGCATAGGCAATATCTAACCGAGTAAATGCTAAATATTGCAAGCTGCCCACCAATTTTCTGTAGGCCGTAGGGTCAGAAAGAGAAGTTCCCGAGTGTATCGTTAACTTCGGAGTGAGGCCATGGGAGTGGTCACTGGTTTTGCATCTTGCATATTGTATCGATGAAGAAGATCAAGTATATATTTTCTCTGCGACAAGTGTAGACCTTTAGCAGTACGATGTGCTTTAAGACCCAAGAATAGTTCAAATCTTCAGCATCTTTTACCGAGAATCGATCTGCTAACAGAGTTAAGACTTGTAGAATTCCCGATTTATTGCTTCCTGTCACAAGAATATCATCGACATAGACCAACAGGTAGACAAACGATGTACCTTGCTGAAAAACAAACAGAGATGTATCGGATAAGGAGTTTTTGAACCCGAGACTGAGCAGGAATGTCTTCAATTCAGTGTACAGGCACGTGGTGCCTGTTTTAACCTGTAAATGGCTTTGCGCAAGCGATAAACATGTGTTGGACTATCAGTGTCAACAAAGCCCGGCGGTTACTCCATATATACTTCGTCAGTCAACGTCCCTTGTAAGAAAGCGTTGTGGAAGTCGAAACTAACACAATCGAGATTTGTCTAGGGTTTTAATTTAGGGATACGATTCGCGAGAATTCTCAAAGAACGACAGAATCAATTGATACCAAAGATGGTGTTCTTGATATTATTAAGAAAAAGATGACTTTGATCGTACAAGAGTTTGATCGTAAAAGAAAAAGATGTTTGTGCTGTGAGAGCTTTGCGTAGTGTAAATTCTAGAGCGATCTTGCCTCCCCTCCTGCGAGAGCCTTGAGTGTCTTTATATAGGGGTGATAAACCGCCTCTCCAGCGATATTCTCGGAAGGTTTCCATTTATTTTGAAGTCGGCGTAGAATATCGCGGATTAGGATAATTTCCTTATTCTTTGGAGTATTTTGGAAG